GGCGAGGCAGCACCCTTTCCTTCGGCAGGGGTCAGTTGCTGAGCGCTGCGTGCAGGGGCTGCGGGGCGCGGCGGGGCGCTCAACCATTGTGATGTCTGGCGGCATCCGATTGCTGTAGAGAGCGCGCCACACGGGGACAGGCCCCTCTGCAGTAAACGCACACATGCGTACGTGCGCTCGCACACGAACACACACAAACACACAAATGCACAAATACACATCTCACGCATACACATGCATGCGCAGGCAGACGCTCTTTGCCAATACGTCCACTCCCTCTCCCCAACACTCACCTCCTAATTTCTCAACCCGTCCCCCCCAGCTTGCTGACCTGTCGCGGCGCGATGACCTGTGGTCGTGGCTATACATGGTGCTGGAGATGACTACGGGTGAGCGCTGACTTGGCGCTGACTTGGCGCCTCATGGTTTGCGGGCCCCCGTGGCTCTGAGGCAACGATCAGTCGTTCTATCTGTTGCACTGCTGTGGGGCCGTTGAGAAATTGCCTCCACTTTTTATGCGACAGCATGTCTGGTGACACACAGGGGCGTCACGTCGCCAGCTTCTGAGGGGGGGAAGGCACGCCCGCTGCGCGCAGGAGTGCGGGGCTGACGGCCGGAACAAGCCACGCGAGGCGCACCACTGAAAGCGCGCCCGCCACCCTTACGCGCGCCGTGGCTGCAGGCTACCTCCCCTGGCGCAGCGCTGACCTGGAGGGCGCTGACCCCGAGGCGCGCAAGGCGTGGGTCATGGAGCGCAAGGCAGACGCGATGCGGCGGCCGCAGCTGTACATGGGGCCGGCCGGGGAGGACGGGCCGCTGCCAGGTGCGTGGCTGTAACATCGACAGCGGCACGCGTGACGTGGAGGGGCAGGGGGGGCGCGGGCGGGCACGGGGGCGCGGGGAAGCGCAGGGGCGCGCGCAGGCGCGGGCAGGCGCAGGGACGTGCCTCTGCTTTCTTGGCTGGATGGCGTTTCCGGGGCGAGGGGAGAGAGCGGGCAGAGGGGGCGCTGCGCCTCTGTTTCGTTGGTGAGACAGCAGTTTGAAAGCGCCTTTAAGGGACGCATACAGGGCGAGGCTCCGCTTGGGGCCAATCGATGAGGCGCGCTGACGGCGGCCGCGCCGGCTCGCAGCAGCCTGGCAGCTTCTGCTCGCACGCATTCCCTCAACTTGATCGGAGTGCCGACAGCACACGTACGCCTCGCCCCCCTCCCCCCCACCCACCACGCACACAAACACACACACACACACACACACACACACACACACAC